GATGCCCCCTGGATGTTGCCGACAGAACAATATTTGGGTTAACACTTAGCTGTGGTTTCTCCAGGTCTCGCCGTTTCCAAGCTCTTTCACATGGCAGGGATGTCGTGTAAGTGAGAGGTACACGAAAATATGGGCGCGTGACACGTTTTATTTTCGTGTTCTCAATTCCCCGGAAGAGTATCTCGCCGCCTGGAACAGGCTACCCGAGCCGGAAGCTGCGTCCGGCCGGGAGAAACCATAGTCTGCTCCACAGCCTTTCTTTGTGTCGTCACGCAATGCTCCTCCCCACAAAGGAGGAGTCGAGAGGAGCGTTGCGTGACAACGGAAGAAACCGCACTGAAGGAGACCAGTAGCCTGCGAGCTAGCCTGAGTATCAGGCGTTTCTGGGTCCCCCTCCCCCCTCCCCCATAGGAAGGCCTGATACTCAGGCTACCTGCGAGCATTCCTGCGAGCAAGCTCTCCTGGGGTGCTCAGGGGTACTGGTGTGGGGGAGGGAAGAGGGGAAGGAGTTAGGAGTTAGAAGGAGTCTCCTTTTTTGCCCCGCCGCCAGAGCGCCCCGGGAGAAAGCTTGCTTGTAGGCTAGCAAGCTCAGCGCTTAGCTCAGCGCCCTCCAGCATTGAAGTGGCCTGGGGAGAAGTGACTGAAACATGGCTTCCCGCTTTCCGAGGCGCTGTGTTGGCAACTGTGTTGATGTCGTTCACGTTTCTTCTGTCATTCGCAACCTCAAGGACCATCTCTCCAAACGTTGTCCGCATGTTAAATTCATCGATGTTCCTGTAGGATGCAGTCAAGGTTAGTCAAGTTAAACATCTGACTTGAATAAGTTCTGATCTGTTACAATAAGCTTAAGCTTACTTTGATGTTTTAATGTGAGTTACGAATTGTAAGATTTTCCTACAACCCCATACATTTATTATGCAAATGCATACAAGTTTCGACTGTCGCGTTCCTTTCTTTAAATCCAAATCCTTGTTTTTGATATGGGGAATCCAGGATTCGCCCGATTTGAAGTCCAAGGAATCCAAATCCAGGTTTACCGATTTTGTGATCTAAGCTACAATCTTGGACAAAATAAAATGGAACAGCAAACCCCCATTCCCCCCAAATCAAGGATGAAGCGGCGCGAAGGCCAAAAACGCGCCATTTTCCTATCCTTGATTTTGGGGGGAGGGGCGGTCTAGGTTTTCCATTTATTTTGTCCAAGATTGTAGCTGTTCCATTCAAAGTGGATCCGAAATTTCCAGGTAGAGTTTCTTCGATGGTTCCATTTGTGTTTTAAAAATGTTCCCTCTGCAGTAAACTAGACTCGCTGATTGCCCCTTCTCTGAATTTTTTCTGAGGGGATGGGGGCGGCTGTACACAGGCTACCATAACATCTTTCTCGCAGACCATTGCATGACATAGAATCTCATGTGACAGTGAAACATAAACTCGTTTGGACATTGTACAGTACGTTGCACAGTATCTGGACACTTCAGTTTAACATTGCAATGACTTTCCTTTGTTAGTCGCAAGAACTCTGAAATTTGGCCCAAAGAAAATCTATTTAGTCCTTAAGATAACGAATTGATAGTTTAACTTTTTGCCTTTGTTTCCATTGCAAAATTAATATTTTTGCAGAGCTCCTATGTTGCCCAGTATCCGGACACAACAATAACAGCATAATTGTACATAAATTTCGACAGGCAAGCGACTTATAAGCTTCCAAAAATATGACCTAGCATTGTGAAATAAAACATAACAGATGACTGGGGTATGGTGGGGAACTCGAGCGGCTGTTAAATGGTATAATTCTTACTTCCTTGTCTAGGAACTTTTTCACTGATTTAAGGAAGGCATCCTCGGACATACCGAAGCCGCGCTTTGCAAGCTCAATTAGCCAATCTGTAAACAACTTTTTTCCTTCACTTTTTATTAAAAAAAGAAGCTTGGGGAAGGGACCTCAATCCGATGGTCAAAGGTCACTCTTCTATTTAGTCTGACCTGCAGTGTTGATTTCTTCATGCTGAGTTCCGACAATAAGCCTGCTTTTCCAGCACTAATTCCTCCTTCTTTCACAATATATCTCTCAATCCCTTTGTGACAGTTTTCAGACCGTTGCAACCCCATTCTAGCAGTCAGAACTGGGGAAAGTATGAGAATTCCAGGTTCAACTCCAACGCTTTCGGTTTTATATAGAAAATGCAGTCACATGAAACAAGCCGTGCACACGAAATCAAGTTGCCTTTGAATGAGTGAAGAAAATTTCCTTATGGAGTTGAGTAGAAGTACATTTTATGACTACATCATAATTATATCCTAAGCTGTAGTTATAGTTATAGATATGCAATAAATCTCATCCGGATAAATATGTACGCAGCTAAGTCTTTCATTCTGTACAGCAAAAAAAAACTGTCAGGATACTGGGCACCTGAGAGTGATTATTTGTCGGAAACCCATTAACGACAGCCTAGACCATACTGAATTATTGTACTGCATGAAAATGATAAGTTAACCAGAACAGACTGTGAACAACTAGAAAACAACCCACTATAAAACCCATCAAGATATACAGGCTTTATTCAACCGAGACTGATAGAGATGATCAATAGATGATAATCTATCTATCTATTATATATTTCAAGATTCTTTCCTTTTACTTTCTTCAAGCTATTCAGGGCTGTTCTTACTATAGGTTACCGTGTAATAATTTGAATATTTACTTCACGTACGAGCCATGAAAGGGGCAAAGTCCAACACTTTCACAAGCAAACTGTGTGACTGTATATCTCATGCAGACTGGCTGTGCACAGTTACAAATTATAGTAACTTGAACATATGAAGACCTCTTTAGTTTTGCAACCAATTCCCTAAGTAAAGGCTCTTTTCTTTTAAGAAGCATTATTAAGAAGCAAAATATTTCCCCGATTCTGATTGGCTAAAAGCACACGCATAATTCACCATAACCATGCAGCTACAGATGACCAAATTTGGAAGAATTTTGCGATTGATCAACCGATGACATCAAAAATGCAGCTTTCTTGCAGGTTAATGCACTGTTAACCGAGAAGACTTGGGGATGAGGTTGAGTTGTTTTGGTTGTGAAAACAAAAATGGTGGACAAGAGTAAGAACTAGGCTAAATAATAGCTAAAAACATGGCAAGAACTTCAAGAAGACAACTCGAAGGGGGGCCATCTGCTATTTGGAGAATATTTGCAGAGCTGAACAACCCTAAAAATGCACTATGCGTCTATCAAAGATGAACTCAACACCCTCCTCAATCTCCATAGTTCTTCATAAGATACACAGCCTCATTTGTTAAATCACTTACAAAAAATGTTAAGAATTGCAAAATTGCCTTTCTATAATCATTATCATCCATACTAGTTGCGTGACTATTCCCTCATTTGGGAAGTGTACTTGTATGAATTACTGGCATTAAATTAAATTTAAATATCGTTATTTGGAAATTTTAAGCCTGTGTGATCAAATGCCGACTGGATGGGGTGGCAGGCAGTTCAAGTTGATGTAAAGCATACTGATCTTTAGATTGATTTAAATCACAAGATACATTTAAGTAACATTCAAAAACTCATTAATAATTCATGAGCTCAACAGCCTATCACATCTGCTTAAATCCATCTTGTGCTTGTAAAACACTGTCAAACTAAAAAGCCTGGGGGTGGCATTTGACTTCAGTCTCAGGGGAGTGCGGGGCTGATTGTATTTTGCTTCATTGATATTCTTTATTTAAAAATTTCATCCTCATTAGTATTCTTTATACAAAAAATACTAATAAGGATGACATTTTATTTCATTGCACGTGATCGACCTATAAATATTAATTATCAGCACAGCAACTGTCACAACAAATGGTGGGTGAATATTTAATGTTCTTTAAAAATAACACACACAGTAAATTTACTATTGCAAAAAATTAAAAACTTTGTTCTTTCACCAATTTAATCTGCCAAAAGTTCAGTGACGCAGCAGTAATATTGGCTATAGCAGTGTCCAAACGTTGCACTCAAGACTTGCCAGTTGTGAAAGGCTCGAGTGCTGGATTTTTGTTTACCTACCTTTTGGCCATTCCAGAAAAATTTTTTCAAAGAATACTTTTTCACTGGAATAATTGACTTTGAGGTACCATTTTCAATGAACTTCCTCTCTTCTTAGGCATTTTTAGGCTTCCGAAAAGCGCTGGAACAAGACAGTATGTCCTCTTTGGTTAGTGTTGTTTGTAGACTGGAAAATTTCTTAACACGTGTGTGTGAGATTTGATTTTCTTACATAAGAATCTCATACGTAATGTTTTTTTTTCGTATGCTAATTTTCAACGTTCACAAATTAAGCGTCATTATTATCAACTCCATTGAGACACACTTTTCCAGGAGTGTTTTTGAAGTTGTTTAATAAACTCGTGGGTTGGGTTTTATCGGGGTATAAGCCATTCTGCTTTACACCCCGATAAAACCCTCCTGCTCGTTTATTAAACTTTACTCAAAATTTGTGACAACTTAGTGAACTGGTCATTGTTTTTGTTAGAGGTTGAAATGCTACAGGAAGCTAAAGTTATAATAACAGATCCTGATACAGCACCCTGTCACTTGCCAACACTTACCAAGCTTAAATGGATTCAGCTGACCTGGGCTGGAATTGATGCTGTTACTAAGCACTTTACAACAGAGCAAAAACAATCTTTGCTGTTGACAAGATTTGGTGGTGTATTTGGTCCGGCCATGGCACAGTATGTGATTGGCCAAATTATATCATGGGAGAGGAACTTTCCCAAAATGTGGACTCAGCAACAGGAATGCAAATGGTAACAATAATAAATATTTCTTTTCATTTCTTAACTATTAGATTTCTTACACTACTACATGGGAATTTTCTGCAATTGTATTTCAGCCTAATTTGAAATACCTACATGTGAAAATTACAAAACTGTTGTGGGTAGTCGTATAAACAAATAATAGCATGATTTGTACTTGATATTTGGCATAAATACCACTCGTGATATTTCAAAATTGTCTCAAATTTCACTCCCCTAACGGTTCGTGAAATTATGTATAACAATTTCGAAATATCACTCGTGGTATTTATGCAAAATATCACTACAAATCATGCTATTACCTATACTAATAATTAATAATTAATGAATGAAGCTGAGTATCTTATGAAGAATTATGGAGATCGAGGAGGGTGTTCTCGGCGGATAACGCCCTCCGAGATCTCCATAATTCTTCATATGATACGCAAGCCGAATTCAATAATTGTTTTATTATTCATTCAAAATAATTCTTTAAAAACATGGCTAAACATGCTTACCTCCATCGATCCATCGATATTAAGTTCATCGTTGATAGTGCATGTTTAAGGTTGTTCAGCTCCGCAAATATTCTTCAAATAGGAAATGTCGCCCTTCGAGTTGTCTTCTTGTTGTTCTTGCCATGTTTTTAGCTATTTTTTTGCCTAGTTCTTTCTCTTGAAACGAGTGAAATGTCTGCCACTTTTCAAGTTCACAGCCAAAACAACTCAACTCAATTCAATTCAAGTTCACAGCCAAAACAACTCAACCTCGTCCCCAGGTTATCTCGGTTAACGGTGCATTAACCTGTAGAAGGCTGCATTTTTGACGTCATTTCCTCGTTTAACACAAAATTCTTCCAAATTTGGTCATCAGTAACTGGTTATGGTAAATTATGTGTGTGCTTTTACCCTATCAGAATTGGGGAAATATTTTGAATGAATAATAATTAGCAATTAATGAATGAGGCTGAGGAGGATATGAAGAATTAAGCAGATCGAGGAGGGTGTTATAAACCGAGGCTGAAGGCTGAGGTGGATAACACCCTCCGAGATCTGCTTAATTCTTCATATCCAGTGAAAGCCAAATTCATTAATTGCTTTATTATTCATTCAAAATAATTCCAGTTTAAAAACACAGCTAAAACATGCTTACCTGCATCGATGTTAAGTTTATCTTCCATAGTGTACGTTTAAGTTTGTCCAGCTCGGCAAAAATTCTCCAAATAGCAGGTGTCGCCCTCCGAGTTGTCTTCTTGCTGTTTTTGCTATGCTTTTAGCCAATTATTTCGCCTAGTTCCAGCTGTGCATGTAGTTCTTACTCTTGAAACAATTGAAGTGTCTGCCATTTTAGTTTTCACAACGAAAACAACTCAACCTCATCCCCAGGTCTTCTCAGTTAACAGTGCATTAACCTGTAGAGGGCTGCATTTTCGACATCATTTCCTCGTTAAACACAAAATTCTTCCAAATTTTGAATTGGGGAAATACGGCCTCGATGGATAACACCCTCCTTGATCTCCATAATTCTTCATAAGATTCTCATCCTCATTCGTTAATTGTTATTATTATATAGACCCAAGTGTTTTACTAGAAAATATACCACTCGTAAAATTCATAAAAACTACATCCGCGACCTGAGTGGTTTATTTTCCATAATCTCACGCATGAGTTTATAGATGACGTAATTTCCCCTCGAAATTTGTTCGTGTCTTGCGTCTTTTGAATTTTACTTACACATTTTTCAAAGCTTTCCTTATATTTTTTCATTGTAGAGTCCTATTCAGCTCAGTGGTTTTTCTCAAGATTATTGTAAACAATGCCTTATATTGCTGCACTGTAAATTTGAGCCGTCACAAGTATACTTTTTCGCGAATAAAAATCAATCATTTTATTGACGCCTTTTTGTCTACATAATAAAAAGAACATTACACGGCGGCTTGAAGATATGAATTTTATTTTCTCGTGGCAAAAACAATATTTTACTCACTTGCTGGGCTCGCTCGTAAAATATTGTTTTGCCACTCGAAAATAAAATTCATATCTTCGCACCACCATGTAATATTCTCTATTTATTATTCATTCAAAATATTTCCCTAATTCTGATTGACTAAAAGCACACGCATAATTCACCATAACCAGTAACTGATGACCAAATTTAGAAGAATTTTGTTTAATGAGGAAATGACGTCAAAAATGCAGCCCTCTACAGGTTAATGCACAGTTAACTCAAGACCTTGGGACGAGGTTGAGTTGTTTTCGTTGTGAAAACTAAAATGGCGGACACTTCACTCGTTTCAAGAGTAAGAACTACAGCTGGAACTAGGCGAAATGATGGCTAAAAAAATAGCAAAAACAGCAAGAAGACAACTGGGAGGGCGACATCTGCTATTTGGAGAATATTTGCGGAGCTGGACAAACCTAAACGTACACTATGGAAGACAAACTTAACATCGATGCAGGTAAGCACGTTTTAGCTGTGTTTTTAAACTAGGAATTATTTTGAATGAATAATAAAGCAATTAATGAATTTGGCTTTCATTGGATATGAAGAATTAAGCAGATCTCGGAGGGTGTTATCCACCTCAGCCTTCAGCCTCGGTTTATAACACCCTCCTCGATCTGCTTAATTCTTCATATCCTACTCAGCCTCATTCATTGATTGCTAAATTATGTCTGTTTCTGTCTGTTTGGTACAGGTTGTTCATTAGGCATCGGAGATGGGAGAATTCTCTGTTTACTATGCTAAATTCTGCGGCTAACTTTCGGTAGCTGAGCCTATGACTATTTTTTATTCAGATGTGGAGCCTCTTTCAAAATATTCTCCTGTAATGTTACATCTTTCTCCTACTACTAGAATTCTTAATGAAAACTCTGTTGGTACCTGCAGGGCCGTCAGTATGGGCCAGGGGCCAGCAATTTCCCCCGTCGGTTGCTATGAGCGTGCCTCCAGCTAATTTCATAGGAAGAACAAGGAAAATAGAACCAAAAGAACTTCCTAGCTATTTAAGTCTGCCCCTACTAACTTGAGGTCTTTGTGACAACCCTGGGTACCTGGCTTAGCATGCAGGTGCAGATGCCTTTTTTGGCTTTAGTTTCACATGACAGAAAAGGTGTCTCCCCTTGCAGGCTATACTTGGCTAATGTGTGCTTTTAATGAAAACACACTGGTGTGATGTCTTGTTTCCCTAGTCCCAGCATAAGTTTCACAGTATGGGAAATCTTAACTAGTTATTTGCAACTTCTTTAAGGGACCGTGAATGGCAGCATACTGACTGTTATCGTGTGATGCCTCAGCTCTCTATTGGAATTCTTGGACTTGGGGATATAGGAAAGGCAGTGGCCAAAGCATGTAAAGCTTTAGGTATGAAAGTGTGGGGCATAGGACGTCGAGAGAGATCTGCAGATGTACCATCTTTTGTGGATCACTATACAACCGCATCTAGTTTACCCCAGGTGCTGCAGTCATGCAATTACATTTGTAATATATTGCCAAGTACACCTGCAACTAAACACCTTCTATCTGGAAATGTACTTGAGAGTTGTAAAGACAATCACCCTGTCCTTATTAATGTTGGTAGAGGAGATGTTATAGATGAAAAAAGTCTTGTTCAGGCATTAAATCAAGGCTGGATATCTGGTGCGATTCTGGATGTATTTGAAGTTGAACCACTACCAAAGGAAAGTGTTTTGTGGAACATGCAGCAAGTAGTAATCACACCTCACGTCTCTGCACTTTCATTTCCTCATGAGGTGAGTAGATTTGAAGGTGTAAACTGTTTTAAGGTTGGCCAACAATTATTGAGGTTGAACCTCTGTTAAGCAGTTGAAAAACCATAACATGTTGTGAGGCTTTTAAGAATGCTTAATGCTATGGTCTCTCCTGATCGAAACAGCCATTCTTAATCGGAACCGGCAAACAAATATGCCTACCAAAGAAGAATAAAGGAAAATAGATAAGTATCCAAAGAAAGCTTAATGGCTGTGTTATACTTTGTAGTTTTGAAATAAGCTGCTGCTCTTGTGTATCAATCCATATCTGAGGGCGGTACACACATTTTGCAATGGTATCGACCAATAGATTGAGGAGTTTACCATTTGTACTAATCGTACGAATTAGACAGCTTCCTAAGCAAATCATGATTTTTTGCCAATGGTATGATTGGTGTTACCCTGCGAGCAGAGGCTACATTTTCGCGGTATGAGCTGGCGTGCGCCTAGATTGGTGTGGGCATTTTGGCGAGTTTTCACGGATGTTATTTGCTAAACACCACACTTTAAGTTCCTGTTGTCGGATTTTCAGTAGTAGTTCTAGATCGCGCGAAATTCGGATTTAATCGATTTCAAAGTTTTTTTGTTTATTGTTGTCATAGTAATATCGGTTTTACTAAAAACTGCATTTTGACAAACCTCAATTCTTAGTCAATCACTGGTGCAAATTTTGTGGCGATCGGACATGGATGAAATCACTTCAGTTTAAGGCGATTGAAAGACATCGGTATGGTCTCCGAGAAACTGTATCGAAACACCCAAGACACACGTGATCAAAGAGGTATATTAGAGGGAGGGGAGGCAGAAAAAGGCATTGCGAGTTATAACATTTTCGTTGTATAATGCTCCCTCTCGTCCACTCCCTGAATATTTGAATCGGATTTCTGCTCAGAAAATACTCAGATCCACAACCATTTTACAAATAAGTCTAATTATCGTCACAAAAAGATTAATAGGACAAATCTAGCTGTTTACCCGACACAAAATAAAGTAATAAATATTTGGAACAATATTCCAAACGAAATAAGGCAGTTTATTTCGTTGGAAGTATTTAAGGAAAAAATTAAAAAGGGATAATATCAGGCCGTAACCGGGTAATTGTAACTGAATGTAATCTAAATTCTGTCCAGGTTACCATAATGGATTAATTTTACATGTTGATTCTGGAAATTTAATAGATACAGTCGACTCCCGATAACTCGAACCTTTAAGGGAAATCGAAAAAAGTTCGAGTTATTAGGAGTTCGACGAAAATAGTCGGGAGTAAGGAAAACTGCACAGTGAACATTTTTAACACATTTAGGCCCGGTTCAGACACCGAACTTTTCCTGAGCCGAACCTAATTCGAATTAAGGCCGACCAAAATTATTTAGACCGGCTGAATTGATTTAGATGCCTTTCTTAATTTTAGCTGAACTAAGATCAAAAGAACAAAAATTCTCATTTCGGTCAAACTGCTTACAAAATATGTTACAGTATGTGGTCCTTGCTGTCCTTGGTCCGCGTGTAAAAGTCATTAACTTGAATATCTCACCCGAATCTTCATGTAACGAGCTGAAATACTCCCTGAAGATAGCTTTTATGTTCCTGTCGATAATCCTGAAGTTTCAAGTTCCAGACATGAATATTTTGCGTGGAATTCGCAAAAAGGGAACCGTTTTCGATGGTCCTTGGTCCGCGTCTCAGGCAAGCGGCACGATAAAAACGTAAAAATGTTATAGTTTCCACACGAAAACGTGATTTTCACAGTATTTCTTGTACTTTTTTTTCTTTTCTTGATGCAATTAAGCTAAAGTTTTTTTCGGAAGATGTTGTGAGCATAAAATAATCTGCTTTTCTTTCAAAGACCTCAGACAACAGTCTCCTCGAGTCTCCCGCAGGAGCGTCGACGAGCGGTTTTAGCGCGGTCGAAAATAATTACCAAAAACTCTGTATGTACTCGAGGTGTTATAAAAGAGAACTTGTAGACATGTATAGGGACGACTTTCAAAACATTCTTCGAAAACAAAGGCCGTCGCTTTTTACTTTTATTAAGCGAAATTTGGTGATATTTTTCAAGAGTCGCTAAAGCAAAAAATTCAGAGTCTACAGCAATATGCTTCCAACAGCAGAAATAAGTTGATCTAAAAACCTGTTCTGCAAAAAGGCAAGTCTTCCCGTTGCGTTTTAGTTATTCGCAGGCTAAGTAAACATGACCACGTAATTTACGGTGCCGCAAAAATCCAAACTTCAAGAAAGACAAATTAACCTACCTGTCAACAAACTTTAATTTCGCGTCTTCACCCGCAGCAAGATGGCTGAAACTTCGTCATATGAAAGAATGCTAATCAGTAAATAACGATATCTTTTATTGTTCAACGTATTTTTTTTGTTGACGAAATATTTTATCATTTTCGGAAAAGACGCGGACCAAGGGCATCGGGGACTTACGCGGACGAAGGACCACATACCGTACATGAAAAGTTCGGCGTCTGAATCAAAGCCGTTCCAAAGTCGCTTCAAAGGCGAAATTCCCGGCCGGGCTAACCGAAAAGAACGTTCCTAATTGATTCAGGCGCCGAACTTTTCATGTACTTAATTCAATGTATCAGGTTCGGCTCATGGAACGGGGTGAGGACAAAACATGGACCAGGGGTCCATGGACCCCCTGTCATGAACCGGGTCCATGGACAGTTTTTTTTAATAATGAGAAATGAACAAAAACAGAAATAGTGCAAAAATAAGGTTAAAAAACAACAACAACAACAAACAATGCTCGATTGATCAGTAATGTTTAATTGTGATTACATAGTGTAAAAAAAGGGGGGGACGGTACCTCATGCCAAAATGCTGCTTGTTCCAATGAATTGTTTTCTCTGATGGGTAGATAATGCTTCGGAGGAAAACCTTTTGACTGAGCAAATGTGAATTTTTGCCGCTTATTTCATACTAAGAGGTCTTGACACACATTGATTTTCTACCTCTTTTAAAATGTTCTTTTAGCAGGACGATTATAAATTCTCACGCATAGTGATTTACAGATCCAGATCTCGAAGAAGAAGAAGTGGCATGGATTGTAGCTTAAACTGAAGCTGCATCAACTATGGAGAATTGCGATGTGACTCAGTCATGATTGCTCTAAAAGCAATGAATTCTTAACTCCAGCTTGTTTTTCTAAGGGTGATGCGAGTCTTTGTACTAGAGCGCGTAATTCCTCTCTTCGTGATAACTTTTGAACAGTCTTGCGACTGCACATGTGCAAGCATAGTGTACGTCATGTAAGCATAACTAAATATTTGTGATCAATCGTGAGCATTGGTCGACAGCGTCTCGTCAAATATTTTTTTGGCACTATTTCTGTTTTTGAGTGTCCATGGACCTGGTGCAAAACCTTCTTACAAAAATTAAAAAAAACTGTCCATGGACCCGGTCCAAACAGGGGGTCCATGGACCCCTGGTTCATGTTTTGTCCTCACCCCATGGAAAGTTCGGTGTCTAAACCAGGCCTTAATTGTAAAAATGTCAAGTGAAAATTAAAACAAAAAAAAGATACTTAAATAAATCAGAACGTAACGTAACAAAACGTAGCCTGAATAGAGCATGCGTTTTACTGTTTTGAGACTAAAAAAGGTAAAGCTGTCTCACGTTAGATTTGTGACAAACAACATCAGCCTCCACTAGTAAACTATATGCCTACAACACGTCAATTGAAAAATTCAAAATTCATTGTTCCCGACTTTTTAAGGGCTCAAAACACGGTTCGAGTTATCGAGGGTAAAATTATCTGAATTGTTCGAGTTATTGAGGGTTCGAGTTACCGAGGGTAAAATTACAGTAAATGTATGACGGAAATCCAGGGGAAATCGATTTTGGTTCGAGTTAGCGCAAGGTTCGAATAAACGAGGGTTCGAGTTATCGGAAGTCAACGTTACATTAATTTTAAAATTGCTAACCTCCGATACC